ATGAGTGACAATTTGAAAGAAAAAAGTAGAAAATGAACATGCAACCGAAATAGTGTGGCAGCAAGTACAGAACCCTGCAGCACTCCTACCAGCATTTTACTATTTCTAAAAGTAGCCGTACCAAAATGTATTGATAAAGAATGATTCTGTAACCGCGAGAAGATCCAACGAATGGTGGTTTCATGATGTGGTTTCATCAAAATATCCGAAATTGGAATATAAGTTTCAACCAATAGAATACATAAAAGATTTTTAATATTTAGAAATTATCATCACAACAAAGCTCGATTGGAGTTTATATATATCTGAAAAAATGAAAAATATAAGAAAAATTTTTAATGGAATGAAAATTATGTTTCATACAATACCGAAAAATGATATTAGCATGAGAAGAAAAACTTTTCTAGTATATGCTTTACCATATTTTCTATGGCTTTTCTGTGTATGGTTTTTTTCACCAACAAACAAAAGGAATCAATTGAACATGTTTTTTCCTCTGGTCTTAGTCTAGTCTACTCGTTGCATTGGGATGATTTTTGGGGATGGATTGGGGTTGGGATGATTTTACAACATTAATACTCAGTCAAGAAAAGTCCCTACGTGACCATCTTTTCTCCTATTGGCGAAGGTTTTCATTGCATTTGGAGAAAGCAGAAGAAACTGTGTGCTATCAAAACACATGGACATCATATCTAATTGCTTTGTAACATATGAAGTGCATGAAATGGTGCATAATAACGATAGGATTGTTTATGATCACGTTGAGGTTTTAAAATAATACCTTGATTTATGAGAGCAGCTAAAACTTCGGCAGCTAAACGACCCATATACATGCCCGATATGAGTTTTTCAAATATATGTATGCCTAGATTATTTGACATTTTATGTATTTCGCGATCGAAATTAGTAATCAATATGTCAAGACAACCTCGTTCGCCCAGACAAACAAGTTTAATAGGAGAAAATGAAATTATGTACATATACCGACCAAGAGCACTCCATTCAGTATTGATAATTATTTCAGTAGCATCTGATGGCAGAGCTGATGGATCGGGTATGGTTCTTCAAAATAGCATGCATTCGTGCCTGTCCCTATTCGAACAAAGCGAATCGATATATTTAGAGCGATTAAAAAGGCAAACTTTATACCGAGAATAACTCCAACTCGACAAGTATTCTCATGCTAGGCTGAAATAGGGAAAAATAAATCATTTCACAAATTAATCAAGAATTAGTCAAACAACAAATATACCACAAACCATCAATGTACCAACTGTATCATTAAAACTGTAATTTTAACTTTCAATTGTTTTTGATAGAGAATTCCTTGTAATTTTTCGACAACATCTTCTCCCATTAAATCTGATAATACCTATCCTTTAGATGGTGTTAAAAATTGCCTTTATTCAATGCAAAGAAGCAAAAAAAATAAGTAGTGAGAATTTTGGAGTCGTTACGAAGAAGAATTTCTCATCCTATGAGAATCGGTCACCTCAATGGATCTGAAATTCTCACATAGTGGCTCTACCGACGACCTGCATGGTGAAAAATCTTGTACATTGATTGAAAAAAGCAGCAGTAACCAGTGTTTACTTCGGAAACGAGAAAAAGTATGTTGCTACCTCAATGCTGACGAAAGACTATTTCGCCGAAAGTCACCTCCATACTTTTCCCATCACCTCCATCTATCCACATAACTGCCATTTCAAATTGCTGCACGCTCATTTAGTTGGAAAGATGGAGGTAACTAAATGAGCATGCAGCAATTATAAAATAGTCACACGCACCGACTTTTTGGATGGACAGTAATTACACATTTAGCACTTCTAGTTTATATCACTTTTATAGTTTCAGTGCGCAAAGTAAAAAGATATTCTGTAGTAAAGGAAAAGAAAACTATCTAAAGAGAGAAGGAAAAATTAACTTACTTCTATATGGATCCGGTTCACGATACTTAGCATTGTAAGGATTGTAACATATAGTATTAACCATAAAAGTCAACAATTTTTATTGTCTGTAAATTTATTCGATATAACTTTTTATTAACAATTCCATTTAGTTGTTCATCTAAGTCATTGAATGCATATACAACGTCGAATGTTGTCATGTAGTCTGTTATAGTACTAAGAATTTCGTTTGGTAAGTATTCCTATGTTGAATCGAGCTAATCGTGATCTAAAAGTATAACAAGATAGGAAGAAATTAAAATTCAAAAAGATTTTACAATCGGCCTCGCTTATGATGAAATTAAAATTAGATAAACGGCGATATTCGCTTCGAAATATTTTGGGTTCTTCTACAGATTGATCACACTTCGTGCCGTAGTCTGTGTACAATGTGCGTATAAGGCTGTGATCAATCTGTACAGGCATCATATTTTGAACACTGTTGTATACGAAACATATGGCACTTTCATCAGTCTCTGCAATCTAACCTCAGACAGAATACGAAACCCAGTAGCTGAACTCATTAAAGATGTGTTAATTAGAGTAGAAAAATTACAACAGAGATTATGAAGATTTAAAATTCGAAGGAAATGAGACAAAGCTAAAAAATACTAGAACGGATGATCGTTGTTTATTGCACTTATACAATGAAAATATTATTATTCGACGAATCTTGTTTGAAATCGCAATTTGTAAGAACGAGACCGCCTAGTATTTCTTCGCTATCTGATACAACATTGAACATAGTAGTTATATTACCACTAAAATGGGCTCGGGTTTTAAATTCCCATTTTGTCATAATTTCGTGCGGTATATAGCAGAAGAGTTGTCTGAAGCCGTCATTATTTCAAACAACATATTTTTGGTTTTAGATTATTATTTTTAAAATAAAGCATTTCGCTTAGGAATCGTGAAGATCATTTTGTTTTATTAGAAAAAGAAAATGAAATCGGGCTCTTAATAGAGCCCAGCTTTTCAATTCCATCCTTGTATCGTAGATTGAGGATTCTTATGAAATCATTTTAATTCCTCGACGTCGATGTCATTGTTTGCTATTGTATTTGTTTTTTGAATTCTAATCACTTGGAACCCCGAATATAGGAAAACATCTCTGTTTAATATTCAGATATGTTTTGTATAACTAACTCAGAACGATCTTATTGTCCGACAATAAGATGGTTCCGTAAGTTTAAGTACTCTACATTCATCAATCAAGCTTGCATTTGAGGAAGAAAACATCAGTAGCTCATTGCCATTTCTTGACATTTTAATACCAAAATCCACTAAAGGTTTTGGTATCGAAGTTTACAGAAAACCGACTTTCACTAGTCTCATGACCAAATAGAATAGCTTTGTTTCGAAAAAATATAAACAAAATACCGTATCCACAATAGTCTATCGAGCCATAAAAGCCTTCTTGTCTTATAAGGCTATTCACAAAGAACTTGAATTCATCAGATCACTATCCAAAACGACTGGATATCCATTGAATATCGTGGTCCTTCAAGGACCACGATATTCGATCTTCCTGGATTTTGAAGAGTTTTCCACAAAAATCTGTTTTAAATTATTCTATAAATTTTAAATCTTTTTAGTGTACACATTTATAATTAACTTTGTAGTAATTTTTTTGAATACACTGAATACATTCGAAGTCAATGAGCCTGTTTTAGGGGATTTGGCTGTTATAGCATAACGATTTCACTCATATATACTTATACTATAAGTGCCATGACAGATTTGCATCGTTTACCTAAATTTTCATTCGGAGATATGGAAAATTATATAAAAGATAAATTAAGTGAGATTTGTGGTGGTTCGGGCACAGATGATATTCAAAATTCCATGGTGAGAGAAAAGTCGTTCGCGTTACACAGCGAAGAAGGTCACATTAGTATAAATATACATAGTATAAGTATATATGAGTGAAATCATTATCCTATAACGAATATCGCCTTCAAAATTAATTTCTGATGCTTAGTTTGATTTTAAACTAATTTTACTCGGAATCTGTACGTCAAAAACCGTGGTTTTCTAGAAACCCTACTTCCGAGCACTTTGGAAAAGATCTTCCGCTGGATAAAAGAAAGAGCATGTTGAGAAATCCTTAAGCGCCAAAAACGAGAAAGATTGGACCGGTAGTAGTGGAGTTAGATCTCTCATGTACCACGGCTATTATCTGTATTCATATCTTTTGCAGTATTTGACGGGTAAAGAAAGAATAGAATTAATAAACGATATCTATTATTCCTTTAGTCCTACATTGCCTTTTCGTTTGTTAAAGGCGTTCTCAAAGTGGCCAGTGGTATGTACAGTTCGTCTGATTCTATTTCTCGATACACATTTTTAAAGTATATATATTTTAGAAGTATGAGGAAAAACTAAAAACTAAATAGAACTCGATAGATCAATTTCACTGGTGTGACGCGACATCAATGCATCTAATATATGATTCGCCCTCGAATGTATCTAATGAAAGAGGCGAAATGTATCAGTCCTCATCATCACATTATTTTGTTATTATTTTATTTATTTGTTTTTGATCTATTTTTTTATTCTCCTATCATGTAAAATGTAAAATAACAATGCACAAATCGGAAAATTTCAATGAATTTGTAATCTATCTCTTCCTATTGTAATATCCTCTATTTTTTGACTATTGACTGATATGATCTAAAATATGAAGGTCACCTTACATTGGCTTATTTTTTGTTAGGACATTCACAAAATGTGCCAGACTGATGTAAAATCTATATTTTTAGATAAATAGCCGTGAAATTGTAATCATTATTAATTGAAACTGTAGGTGAAGGACATTTTTTCTCCTCTGTTACTAACACAAGTTATGCTTCTTTTTCTTTTTCTCTTCTAAAAGAAGATACGTACGTTATTCTCCAATTTATTTGATTCAAAAAAGCTGCCAACAGTGTTTGTAATGAGGGTTTAAATGACCAAATGCACCAGTTGTAAACATCGTGCAATTATACCCTAAAAATTGAATCGGCATTCTGTTTCAGTAAAAAAAAAGCACCTGTAAAAGTATATTTTGCTCAAAGTTCTCGTTAAAAACACTTTTAGTCGTCCTGAGGAAGAGTTCAATGGTTACAAAAGAACAAAAACAATTTCGGAAAGATATCTCAATCCTTTTTGAGTTTCTAAGACTATACAGCGTGAAACGAACGAGTAGAGATGTTTGTTCACAAATCCTCCTGCAGAGCTAAATATTAGCAAGTGTTTTGAGATCTATCGAAGTTTCACAATATAACAAAAAATGATGTTATTTCATTTTTTTACTCTATTTTTAGACTAAATTTTATATCATACTACATCGTATTATGAATCGAAGATAATCAAAAGAGAGTCGACAATCACACAACGATGTCAATGAGAAAAAATAGTCTTGCAGTAAGTAGTGATATATTAGATTAAAAGGGAAGAAATTATTCTTCATTCTTCTTGCAGATTTTTGAAAAAAGTCATATAGGTAGTAGCTATTTGCTCTTTGCTGTGTGATATGTTGAAACAGTTGGTTTGTTTGTGTTTTTTGCTGTTATATGCTTCATTTTTATTCAAATTAAGACTATTTTAATCACGTTTTATGAAAATATTTACTATATATTTTTTTGCTTGTGTTTTCTATATCTAGGATGAATTCTGATACTGGTGAGAGTTCGTCAATAATTATCCCCGACGTTTGCCTTGTTAGTAACAGTGGCAGTGGTAGTTATCAACAACAAGCACAACTTCATCGTGAAAGTCAACCATTGTTAACGCATATGGATTCTGTAGATTCACATCACATTCCATGGAATAATATTACGGATGATCCAGAGTATGCCGATGTTATTTATCAAGCTGAACGAGCCATTGAAGGTGGAATATTACCGTTGAGAATTGTACAAGGATCAAGTGGAAGTTATTTTGTGAGAAATTTAGAAGGAGTATGTATCTTGAATTTTACATACATTATCAAAACTATACTGACATATTTTAGCTTCAGAAATTTAGCTATTTTTAAGATAAATGTTGAATATTTATTTAGATAGATCACACAAAATGCTTTATCTTTCTTGTTGTAGAAAACAATTGGAGTATTTAAACCAAAAGACGAAGAGCCATACGGTAGACACAATCCAAAATGGACGAAATGGTGAGTAAAATTAGTGTTTATGATATTTTGTTCAAAGTTGTGGAGAACTGTTTTCAGATGAGAAATGTGTGTTAAACGCTGAGTGACGAGAATTTAACAGTGATATTTTGTAACTTTTTGTACACTATGAAAGGCTTTTTGTCAAATATACAACACATCATTACATTTTGTTTTTTTTCTAAAGTAGAGGTGTACAGGGTATGAGTTTTTTTGTACCCTGTATCCTACCCTATAAAAATTTCTCGTACCCTACCCTATCGACTTCAGACAGTTTGCACCCTATTCTTCACATAAGAAAGCAAGAGTAAAATAGGATCATTCATTCAGCGATCGAAGTTCGTTTTTCTAACTACAGTTTTATTCAAAAACAGTAAACACACATTTTATTGTTGTCGAAAATTTCGTAATAACAATATGTTGTCAAATAAGTCGGAAGTCAAGGACTGTCGTCTTTATTCTAATATTCGGCCAGTAGCGCTGAATACTCGTTCTGATGTCGTCGAACTCGCAGGAACTCCCAACAATGTTCGAGACAACAAACTAAGATTTGGATAGATGGCAGAATGACTCATGAAGTCATGCACCACTAAAGGAGCGAATGTCTCTCAATATGAAGCGTTCTTTATCTTATAGGGTACAGTCTATGACAAACGGCTCAACCTGTACCCTATCCTATAAAAATGTTTCGTGCCCTTAACCTGCCCTACCTTAATAGGATGGGGTAGGGTCCTCCTACACACCTCTAGTCTAAAGCCGCTGTCGTATCAACTAAATGTGTATAAAGCGTAATGGGTTGTTTTCAATGTTATTTCACTGATATCATGTCTTCATCATCCTTTTTTTTAAGTATCGTTTGTCTATTTTTTTTCTTTCTAGGTTACAAAAGACGTGTTGTCCATGCTGTTTTGGTCGTTCCTGTTTAGTGCCGAATCAAGGTTATTTATCTGAAGCTGGTGCGAGTCTAATAGATACAAAATTAAAATTAAATGTTGTACCAAAAACAAAAGTGAATTATTTTTGTAATTATAAACAATCAATCTTAAAGACAAATACATCTCTGAAGTCTTTCATGGAGTGTACATGACCCGCTATTATTCCTTGCAGAAAATCAACGACTTGCTTGATATTTCTTCTTTAAATATTATAAAATCTCTCGTTGCGTTTGATCTGTTTTACGTTATGTCACTATCTTTCCAATTCAATTGACCTTAATGTTAGGAAATGTATCTATATGTTCTGTTTTACGCGCTGAGTGATCTTCCTTTATATTGCGATAACTTATCATGATTATCATCAATTAAACTGCTAGATGTTCATTTTTCTAGCAGAGAACATACTCAGATTGTTAGCGTTCGCTCTCGTCCGACAGTATATGCCATATGTACAGAACTCTTGATATTGATCCATCTTCTTCACGGCTCCATATCTGCATATGATGCATTCTGCCAATTATCGATTATTGCGGCAGTATGTACAACAGTAATTATGAGATACAAGCTTTTTCAACTAAATTCAGTTCTCAGACTGTGTTTGAGAGTGAACATGAACAACTAATCTGTCATCAAGTAAGAATTTAATAAAACAATTGAAGTTGTTCGATTTAGCGAAGAGAAGAAAGTATTCATAAAATATTGATCGGCAGTAGTGCTCTTTCACGTTTTCGCCTAAAGAAACCGTTACTAACACACAACAACTTCTGAAAAACACAATAATTGTTTTGATGACAAACAGTCAGTAGAATAGAAAATGCAACAAAATCTGTTTTTCTTGTCTAAAACCCATATCGACTAGAATAATCTATTACGTTCCGTTACCTTTGTTTGCTATTCATACTTTTGAACGTGGGCTTAGGAAACACTTAAAGATTGGCTCGCTGGTGCAAGGTTATAATCTCATTTATTTCTTATTATTTGCAATCATTGTTTATTTATTAGTTTAGTTGTTCTCTCTCTTTCTCTTTTTGTTTTTTTCTTTCTAATGTTGCATCTGTTTACAAGTCCTTTGATTATAGAAACGTTGTCAAATAAATCTATTGATTCGTTACATTCTTTCTAGGTGGTTCGATTAGCTGCTGATTCATTCAACTATCCGGCCTATAAACGAAAATGGATGACAGCAAAACGTGAAATTAATGAACGTGTATCAGCACAATTTCATGGCAGAAGAGTATTTCAACCAAGAGGTTTACCAACAAAGGTAAATAAGAACTCATTGATGTCTATCTTTTTGACAACAAACTCAAAATATTAAAATATATTACAATTAGTATTCACTGATAAACAATATTAAACAATAAGTCGTTTATATCTTTCTTAAGATTGGTTCATTTCAATTATTTGTGGAAGGTTATTCAGATGCTGATGTTTTATTAAAACAAATTGATCATGATTCATTAACAGAAGAAGTTTCTCAACAATTTCAACGTAAATTTGAACGATTAGTTGTACTCGATTATATCATTCGAAATACAGGTATATAATTAAGTAGAAAATAATAAATTAAATTATTATTATTTTGTTCTTATTCACAGATCGAAATAATGGAAATTGGCTTATTAAATATGACAAAACAGCTTGTGACAGAGACAGGGTAAATAAGTGTACATTTTCTTCAATCGTTGTTAGATAAACAACTTCTATACGTCAAATAGATGTGCCATCAGTTATTTTTTTGCTAAAATATGAGGGATGTCAGAACTTCAACATCTTGGCTAAGTTGTTGTATAGAATATATATATATATATCAGTCTATGTGCGTAGGTATATGTACATCTATGTTTCCTCTTGAAACATGCGTTTTATCTATTTATCCTTCGCATATACACAAACTTTCTAGATATTTATCTTTACATCATACTATGATTTGTTAGATATCGTACACATTTGATTCCAGGTAGTTAGATGCTAATCCTCTCTAGATCAGAGTCACCAGATTGTCCGCATTTTGCGGATAAATTCCACTTTCTGTAGTTTTTTCCGCAATTTGTCCGCTTTTCGAGGATTTGTTGTTTTTGTTCTTTTCCCTGCAATGAAGACTTTTACATTTTCTCATAAAAAGTTTGATGCCTTCGGTAGCTGAATGATCTGTCAAAACAATGCTTTTGCAACTTTTATAAAAACTTTTTTAAAACAGATGTGCACTGTCTTAGGAACTAGATCAGAAATTTGCTCTGGAAGTGAGCGCTAACAGAAAAACATTAGCTTGTCGCAAGTGCTGTTGAAATGGAGTATAAAAAATAGTGAAATACTAAATTTTCAAGGAAGGCAACTCGGTTAGAAAATCTTAACTATTAAGTGGTGTTGTAGGCGGGGAAGTTTCGAATTAAATTTTATCCTACCATACATAACTCTTGAAATTTATGGCGGCTGATCAAAAACGCGCATCCACGAAAAAGCCAATAGCGATTCAGATTTGAATTTAAATGATGTTTTGTACTTCTTTTGTATTTCTTAAGTGAAACCACCTAAAGCGCTAGAAAATTGTTTTTTGATACTCCTTTGTGTTTGGTGAAAAATACTTTTCCAGATTTTGGAAAAAAAAATTTCGCTTTTTCACCTTTTTATTCCACTTTTCTGACCTAAGCATCTGGCAACTCTGCTCTAAATAGTCATCCTTTCTAGGTCTGAACATTTGCGACATCATTCATAAGCTTAGTAAAAACGCAGTTAACCTTATCATATCCAATACATTGATACTATTTTTATCCAATATCATATCCATTGTACATTAAACAATCTTTTTTCCTCTCTTCTTTTCCTTACTATGCCATGCTAAAGTATAAAGAACAATGCTTGAAACTTTTCAGAACACTATAAAACAGTATCGATTGTCATAGGTTTGACGACCATGAATGTCTAGAGAGGATGAATATCTATACATATCAGTAACTTTGAACAGACGGATCGGTTAAAGAACACTACGTATGCACTTTTCCACAGTATACGTTTTTAACTTAGCAAAAATGTAAGAATTCTGACATCTATGTGAAATATGAAAAATACATCATTACTCAGTGCTTTTCTTGCTTTCATAGACTTCAAAAGTGACAAAAAACGTTTTAAAAACAATAATCATTATTTGTCTTAGCACCTATCTACATGCTTTGTTTGTTTTTTGTTTATTCTTCAGCTACTTCATTCTTTATCTAGTCCACAACTACAGGAACAAAAGGTAAACATAAAGATAAACAACTGTATTATATATCGTGTGTTGCATGCAATATTTAGTCATTTGAGTAGTATATTCTTTTAATTACTTAATTATGAAAATAGTACTAGTAATACTTTGCCCGTTTATTACTAAGCTCTCTATCTTCGCTTATGATTGTTTGATTATCTTATATTAAATAATAGTACATAACAGATATTTTTCTATCTATTTTTAGGAGAATATAGATTCAAATCATGCTGTTGGTGATATATCTTCAATTCCAATTACCACTACAGAATTTGTCACATCACCATCACAAGTATCTACCGTCACTTCATCTCCAAAAGTTGAAATTGATTTAGCAGCTATTGATAATGGTCTAGCATTTCCATTTAAACATCCAGATGAATGGCGAACATATCCTTTTCATTGGGCATGGTTACCACAAGCAAAAATTCCATTTTCTGATGAAATTAAACAGTTGATATTACCTTTCTTATCAGACATGAATTATGTTGAACATGAATTATGTGATGAAATACAAAGATTATTTGCATTAGATAAAGATTCAGAGAGACGAACAGTAGAACGACAATTGTCAGTTATGCGAGGACAAGTGAGCAATCATTCTAAATTTTATACATCAAATTTCATTTTTTTCTCTCTTAGATTTTGAATCTTGCTCAAGCATTACGCGATGGTAAATCACCATTTCAACTTGTTCAAATGCCTGGTGTGGTTGTTGAACGTTTGGGACAAACAACGAAACAATTTAAACAAAAATTTAGTGATCGTTATCCGTTATTTTCATGGTTTTAATTTTTTTGTACAAAAGATAGAAAAAAAAAAAGTTTTATTTTTCGGTGTTCCGTACATATTTATCGCTTTCTGTTATCATGTTATCTATTTTGGGGGTGTGTATGTTTATCTTGAATATTTATTGTTTTTTCATCTCTAACCATAAATGTCATGTCTATTTGTCCTCATTATCATTGCTGTTGTTACTATTTTTTCGTTTGTTATTGGCATTAATTTTTTTTATTCTGGATAATTGTTCGTTTGCTTGATTTTATTCACAAATTAAAGTTTATTCTAATATGAAAATAATGTGCAATTGTGATTAATGAAGATCAGAAAAAAGTTCTACTTCTATATGTTTCGCGAAATATTAATCGTTGCACAATGTTATAAGTTGAGTATTTCAGACTATTGTGGACATTTATTACGCTTTTAACTACTGTCTGTCCAATGAAATAATGAATTCGACCATGTGTTGAATAACTCATAAACATGTTATCCTAGTGAAAAGAAATTTAAAAATATTTATTCCAATTATCTTTTCTGGAGTATCGTTAAAAAACTAGATCATAGCTCAAAGACGTGAAGCACGGGTACTGTCGTTTTTTCTATGGGTAAATAGCTCACAATGCTCTGTTCAAAATGGCAGTCAACCGAACTCTCCATTTTTTGTCATTCAGATGTGGTGTTGAGTTCCCTAGAACCTTCGAGACAGGTATCCAGAAAATTTTTCAAAATTCACTTTTGCTTACAGAAATATGTGGTCAGGTGGTTAGTTTTCAAAACTGAAAATCGCAGGTCGATACGTCTTTTCCTTAAAAGGTTATAAGCAAAACAACGGACTCTCTTTTTCGTTGAAAACGATAGTAGAACCAATCGATTGTGAGTACAAAAAGTATGCAAATAAAAATGGGCCAAATCAGTTGCTTAGCCGGACTCATCTTTTGTGGTCACTAGTTTCGTTAAGATCAAGATCTTATAGGATCCTAAATATTATTTTTACAAAATAATTGTCCGGTTTTTGTGGACTTCATGGAAACTAATTACACTTTCTGTTTAGGGTCGAGCTGTGCAATTTCTCTTTAGAATCTTACCAGGACTTTTTCTTCTTATGAGGTCTGTGAGGAAGATTCGAACACATTTACTTCATTTTGATGATGGACGCTTTAGGCGACTGCGATAGAGTAACACCATGTGGTTCTACGCTCGATACGGTTGTGAAAAAACCAAAGGAGAAACAGCGGTTAACTCGACAGCAGAGCTAGGGCAAGTACAAGTACTTGTACTTGCGTCCCTGCTTTGCTTGACAGTGACACTTGCTTTGAAAAATATAGTCCAATCAGGTCCTTAAGCAAGGTGAGAACCGGTCATGGTGGCTTTAACTCAAATCCACTTACCCAAATCTTTCCCGTTAGGAAAGAGTCAAGCGAGCGTAATCGAAGTGATCCTTGTGGTTAAAGGCTTTTGCGATGGAGTTGCTGTGATAGTCGCGATAGGTTTAGAGCCAGTTGAGTGTTAGATCGTCTCAAAGTTCTTTTTTGTCAACAGCGATAACCCAATTAGCCAAACTTTTACAAAAATGTGTACTTGTTATCCGTTTTCTGCGGAAAAGATGAGCACTCTCTATCACGAACTCTCATGCGTAGAAAAATCCAGTGGCAAGGTTATCTTTCTTTGCTAATGTACGTAATATTGGTAATAAAGTTTTGTTGGTTTTCCAAAAAAATCAGTTCCAAAAACATATCAGTCATTGACTTGTATGGAGAAATTCTTTGACTTGTTGTTGAGAAGGGTGAGGGTTTCACTAGCCTGAATTTGGTATAAAATTCATTGGGAATGTTGTTTGAAATCAATGGGTGTGTTTATGCCATATTTCCTAAAACGAAAAAAATAGTGAATCAATTCAGTACTATAAAGTACTCAAAATAATAATATCAAAGAAGGTAAGAATTGTGGAATAAAATATCAGCGACATTTTCTTGATGAGTTACGATCGAAACACAATATTGACACAACATACCTAGCTTAGTCACCATTACGAATAGGACTATAACAACAACGGCCAATAGTATTACGATGACAATTACCATAACTAGCACAACAATCACCACCATTATCAGGATCAAAATCACAACCATTACAACAAAAAACATCAATAAAACAAGTACAACAATCGCCAATAATACGAAAAATATTAGTACAAAAAAGACAACCATTGTCATCAGCCATTGCGATTGTGATCAGTAATATCGGTAGGAAAATGAGAAGCACTGCGCTTTTGGTAATCGTTGATGTTGGTGGTTGTTGAAGTTTGCGATGCTAGAGTAACTTGTCGAATACTGGACGTTCGTTTGTGATGCTTGTTGTCGTACTGTTACTTTTATGTGCCCTCCGGTGGGCAAAAAAGAGAAATATCGGGAGAAGCTCCCTATTGAATATGTCGCTGTGAAGAGCAAAAGTAATCAACAGAGAAATTCATTGACAACGGAAGGAAAATAGGACACTAAAGGGTTGATAGTTTTATTGTTGAGTAGGTTCTCCTATGAAACAACGCAAAATAGTATAAAAAGCATTTTTTTGATTAGAATATCTATTGAGTTGCGTATATTCACTATTCCTATCTAGTTCTCGAGCATAGTCTAGTTTTTATCCTAAAGGACACTTGATTTTCATGCTTTATTCGTTACAAAATGGTAAAAGAATCCTATAAGAAAAGTAAAACAACATTTGAGTACTAATTAATAAATATTATTCCATGGAAAATTTTCCCCTTGTTTATCAAATGTTTGCAATTGATCTCTGGCATCTTGACATAAAATTTCTCCCGTGTCCGCATTCATTAAAAGTAAATGAGGAATACCATCAATTTTAAATTTTTGAACTAATTCTTGTTTTTTTGTACGCTCAGAATATTTGAGAATTAACCATGGCATTGACGATGAATAACGTCTAAATTCAATTTCATTTCGATCTGAACTAATAAATATGACTTGAAATTGTTTTTTATTCGAATATTTTTGATAAAAATCAATCAAGGATTTTGTAAAATCTAAAATTGTCAACATTTTATTTAACGAAAGAAAAATATAAGATTTCTCTTACCTTCACATGGTGGACACCTATAAATGAATTAACACATATTTGTATGACTGTGTGTGAGACTTAAGAGATAGTGCATGACACTTACCAATGTCCACTGAAGTAAAGTCCAACAGTTTTTCCTGTACATGTTGCTTTTAAATCAATTTGATTTCCAGATTTATCCACAATATAATTTGTATCGATTATTTCAGCAATAGCAGCCATTATTTTTCGTCTATTTTAATAGTACAAAAAAAATTATTAAATGAAATTATAGTATTGCTTTCGTTATGACGAAAGAGTGTGAAATATTCAAAAATGATAACAGCTGGTACGAAGTAGAACAAACTAAAGGTGTAAAAACGTTGTAGAAGAGCGAAGAATATTATTCTTTTTTTGCTGTGTAATACTGTTTAAGTGACCTTGTACCATACTCTTGTTTCTAATATCATTCTGATGCTGTAATTCAATAGATGTAATACATTGAACAACGTTAAAAATAACAGCTTCTTCTACGAAAAACTGTCAGATAAAACGTAGAGTCATTGTATCGTGGGTAAATCCATGGGAAACATACCGTTATTACATCGACCTTCGACACAAGCGTCGAGACTATATATATCTTGTTGAGTATTAAAAATTATAAATTTTGGTGAATAGCGCAGGTCTGTAGCTGTTACGAGACCTGAAAAATCTTTAAAATCTTTTTCAAGCCAAAATATAGTTTTTTGATAATTTTGTGTCCATTTTTGCCTAACTTGTAATACTTTTCCTGTTTCACGTCCCGCATAGAAGTTCAAAACTTTTTTTATTCGAAAGAGCAAATCAAAATGTGTAACGTGTAAGAGAAAAAGTTTGCCTTATGGGTTGATCTTGGAAAAGGGTTTTGAAAGATCCAAGATTTTTTCGGCTATTCGCACCTACTGTTTTCATCGATTCTCGATGAAAACTTTTACGATAGGTAATTTTTGATGCTGTATCCAAATATGAAATCAAGCAAAGGGAAATAGAACCAAACATATGACACGAGAAAAAAAGCAATCCATATCTTTTTGTTAATACTATTCAAAAATCACTTTTTATATCATCGAATTGCTTCTTTTGTACATAAAACTTTTGGTTTTTTGTCAATTTTTGCTGATTCAGCAAGTTTACAAATAATTGCTGATGTTGGAATATTTAGTTCATCTTTCCTTTTATATAAGATATTATATCAGTAACTATTGGACTACTTGAATGCAAATATGACAACGTTGCTTCTGCTTTAATTGTATTAGCATTTATTATTTTACTAAACCACCAATTATGATACCATTCGAAAAATAACATAATCATTAATAGTTACATCTTTAACTAGTATTGGTATACTTGAAATGTAGTAGTAGTTATTAGTCTACTTGAATGTAATGTAATGTAAATGTGACATCCTAGGTTATATCCTGCTGGTGAATGCAATAGGAAAAATATGAAACTTTGGTTTCATCAAACCTGGATACAGTTGTTTAAATTGTCTGTGGAGAAACCAAATCAATTTTTTCAGCAATGCTGGTGTTTCACGGCGAATATTCGTAGTGAAACACAGATCGACAATGTCAAATAACGATAAAATGGATCATGTTCAAAATCGAAATTTTTTAAAATTTTTCTTAAAATAATTCGTAGATTACATAATAATACATAGGTTTGCACACTGGAGAAATGGACATCGTCGGCTTTCACAACTCCTTCGATGAGTACATGCATTGAATCAAACAACATTTGGGCCGTGATATCAAATTCTTCTAGTTAATCAAATAAATAGACTTGATTATTGATCCCATAAAATTTGGCAAATAAATCAAATGTTGTTTTGTAATGGTGTTGAAAAGATTCTAATTGTGAACATCGATCGCGATATTGTTTGAGTGTAATTGTTGGAAATTCGTATCCAGTGTCACGTTTGAAATAATCTACAAAAACAAAAATATAGAACAAGTAAATAACAAAATTTTTCATTAAATAAGGCACTCATACCTTTTGTCACATCACACAGTTGACAAAAGTGCATGGCCGCACGCTTTCTTTCAATCCGTGTAATGATGCTGACGCCGGGAAATCACTCCACGTGAAAAACCCCAAAATAGCGTTGTATTCAACCATCAACATCAATCTTAATGCCTACAAAATAATATAAAGCAAGGAACTGCATACAAAGTTCTTAGAATCACGGGATCACGAGGAGGACAGGGGATGAAAATTGAAAAGTTCTAATTTACTTACCATCAGTTGATAACTTTTTGATTGACGTAATAAAAACCCGCAAAGCATGGTATAATCTATCGTAACTCATGGCTCATTTCGAGAAAGCGCTGATCAGATGCTTTACTGTTTGTTTTGATCGCTTATGACGTGCAACATTTAACAATAACCAATAAATTTGGTGGATTCTTTTACCAACAGGATTGCTTATATTCAAATCATCGCTGTTTAGTTCTATCTTCAAAAGACTTTCATGTTTAAACTTTGGATGACTGATGCAGGATGAATCACCTAAAGCAAGAGCAGAAAAACAACAGCAGCGTCGAGGAAATACAAGCTTGTAGTTAGCGGTAGGACATCAGCTCTCCACAAGTTTCAATATATAAGGCTTGTTTTAAAAAATGAGCTTATAGTGATGATTTGACATCAGCTATTGACCGTCAATGGTTTCTTACGATTTATACTCACGATAAAAATCATGGATATTGGTTGGGTCATGTATCGGCAAACTTCGGTCGATGTCTATTTGTGCTTCTATCGATTTCAGAAAGTTTTCCACGCTTCGTAAAAATGGTACATAACAATATTTAATTAATTTTTGCTTTCCAGTTTGTTCATTCACCTGTGCTCGAGTTGCAACCTTAAAAGTGCCATAGCACAATAATTCGTTAATCAGAAAAGGGACGAAAGAAAAGAAAACAACCTGTGTAACTTTTTGGAACTGGATGAACATAATCGATTTCTTAGTCTAACATTTCGTTCAGCCAAGTTTTTCAATATCAATGACGTACAATTTAGATCCTAAGTGAAGATAAATAATAACTACAGATTATCATCAGGGCGGTCCGGTCCTATTTTACGAGATTGCCTGCTAATTCGAGAAGTTTTAGCCTTCAAAAGCAGAAGTAGACTTACTAGTGTGACTTTGCGAATTTTGGACATTTATTATTCCTCCACTTGTATTAATCGGTATTGTGGATAATGGCTGACGTTGTGACGAATATAAATAATCTTGAGTTGCGTGGACTGATTCCAAATTAAATAGATCTTCTTTGGCATTTCGAGATAGTTCTTCCGCATTTTTAGTGTTGATTCGCTTCTTCTACCAAAAGCAAATTTGATCGCAGTGTTGATGGTGGATGAATAACGGATAACGTCGATAATTCATCGTCTTCATTTCTGACAATTGAGTCTGTATTCATAAACTCGTCAACAGCTAAAAATGGAAAAGATCGTAAATGTAAACAGTCTAAAGTTCGAACGTTTCTATCAAGAGAACACTCTCTTTTTGTTTCTTTAGGTATACCAATGTTTGATGGGAATTAGGGCAATATGTCACTGGTACTGGTAACAGAAGATAACGAGTAGCAGTGTGAGAAGTGGTACCTATTACTAATAACAGGTAACCCAGGCCGTTGAAAATGGCCAAGTTAATGGCGTGTTAACGTTCCGTTAAGTCTATGTTAACGGGTCGTAAACGTACCCTTTTAATACAGAAGAAGCCCATGCCTAATCGATCTCCAGCTTTGTAGAAGGTTTTTAGCTCGTTACGTTTGATTCCACCATGTTTTACTCGGACTTCTCTTCGAGAACATGGTGAAATCAATTTTTAATATTTTCGTCAACAAGGATGACGCTTCCATCACGCCATAAGCTATCTGGATTGGAAAAGTCAATATTAATACAAAGTCAGAGAAAGTACACAACAGTTTTGGTCCGCTGTTCTTCTACCATACATAAACATTTCCTAGTCCGCAGTCATAATGCTGAACTATCTGATTTTCGATAAGCTGTGGAGTTTACTTTTCAGAAACATTTCTTACTCAGGTAAGTCAAGTCCCACTTCGCTGTATTTCTCAGTTCTGATTCGACATATGATTGAAAATGATCTTAACTTAAAAGCGAGAAAGGCTAATGCCTTTAGTTTATTCAATTGTGAGTTTTACCAATAAGGTTACATTTGCCGTATGTGAAGTATCGAGCATTCACGCTTTAACTTCAGAGAGTGTATACCCGTGGATATTAGTGCTCGAACCATTTCGTTGTCAGAACCATTCTAGCATCCTGTGAATGAGGCGAAATGCCCATGCAGAAACGACTCAATTTTTTGGGTCATTTATCTAGATTCAGTTCTACGTACATCTAGATGTACGTGCACCTGAATCTAGATAAATAATCCAAAAAATTGGATCGTTTTTGCATGGGTGGCTGAGCCTCAATCCTTGTGTATCAAACAGAACTGAATTGAACTTTGCTACGCCCTGAAAGTCACTAATAGCAAAGCGATCTTACACCGAGGATAGTCACGTTTGTGAAGACACCAGCTTTTGAGGCATTTTCTCACTTCTGTGCATTTTTATTTTGAGGTCTTACACAATCATTGTGTTTAACTGAATCTATACAAACGAAGATGTCTTAGATTTTATGCATTATTTGAGAAAGATAAAGAAGTCTCGTAATATGATCCAAGAACGATACAGTTCAATTCTGCCACTAAAAATAAGTTAGAAGGTTTTATTTATCTTAATTCTCTCTCCACAGGTAAAGATAGGAATTGAAACCCTGCCTGAGCCCCGTGCTCTCCCGAAAAAAAGAACAAACTAAAATCTGCAATGGCATACATTGAATTTCAACTGTCACTGCTACTATTTCAGGCATAAAATCTTTTCCATTTTTATTAACAAGTTTTGTTGCCATTTCGATGTTGTCTTGATTGGATGACGATGGAATATCTCTGGCAATAAGACGAATTTGTTCTTCTTTTAGATCTGTTGTTGATAATGTCATTGTTTGTTTCTCTTTTGATTTTGATGATGATAACGACTTTCCTTTTGTGTTCTGTTCAGTATGATGTACATTAATTTTCTTTATTCCGCTTTTTTATGACCAGTATCGAGATGTTCGGACTTGATCAGAGAACAATATACTAAAAATAGTCTAAAAGAGAAAAAGTCAACTGATCAGATAACAAGTAGATTTAAGTTGCTTTCTGTCGAATTCTAGAAGACGAAATTTCGCAGAATTACCAGAAACGGAGCCTACTTTTGACACAAAAACTCTTACCCACAATTTTCCATTCCTAGCTACTGTCAGTCCTTCTAAAAAGCAGAAATATATAACAGAAAAACTAGAGTAATAGGATACGAGTCAAATACTCGACTTCTTTAATGTATCCAGTATGGTTTTGAGGATATTCAGGTGTTTCACTTGGATACGAAATATAATTCTAAGAGAAGAAAAAACCAAGTTCGTTAGAATTATAGGTCAACGGAAAGGTATAATAACAGAGATTTTAGACTGCTTGCAGGAGAAAAAAGATTCAGAATAAGATACCCATGGATCGTATCTTTTCTTTTTCTTTTGTGGTTTTTTAACATTTTCATCGTTTATATTCAAAATATCATTGTCAATTGTAGTGATGGTTGTTGAAGTATCAATAGCTGTTTCTTCTTCACTTGCATCAACACTTGCATCAACATCGACCGTTGTGCTGGCACTTGTGTTCATCACTCAAGATAATCAGAATGTTAAATTCTTTTGGTTTCAACCACATTGTAATGAGTTGTTGTTCTTGAATGTGACCAATATCATCAAAATTATGAAATTTTTTATCTAACAGATCTCCATATTAAATAACACAATCATCAGGGCCACCGATTTTTTATTTTCTTTTGTAATAATTTCATTGTAACTATCATCGTTGGTATTGATAACGACTGCTTCTTTACTGATAAATATTTTTATCTGAAACGAGAGAAAAGCAATTCTTTTGATTAAGAATGAGAATTAACAAAAAGAATCAAAATCTTAAAATAATTCTGGATATAAACAACTCTACAATAATATATTCTCTTAGGATGGATCTGTAGAAAATCCTCGGAATCCCAATAATGGGAGAATAGATGTTATTACTTTTCTCACTCTACCAACATATAAATCAAGGAAAAGGGAGTATTTTCTCAGAGTTCCAAGCGGTTTGGATGGGTTTTAAAAGCGACTGGAGTATTTTACTTTAGTATAGTTATACCTGAACTGGTGGATTTCAAAGCTCAGTTCCACTAGGTTTATACACCTTTTCCTTAAAAAAAACATTGATACAAGGTTCAATATGATCGATAACCTATGTTTCCATTTACTTTAGAGGTTATCCGAGGTCACCTAATACCAGTCTAGGGACTCCCAACAAAACCGATACTATGCCTAAAACTGCGGGTGCTGAACCTACTGATCAAGATATTATACGCAGCTTTCTTTATAAGAAATTCGACGAGCTTTAAAATGGTATATGAGAGAAAATGTACTTGTTGCTTTACTAGCGTAAGAAATAGTAAAAACTGGAAGTATGTCGCATTTTTTTCCTTAGTCGGTTTACTTCTAGTCCATAACAAAAATCGGACCCAAAAACAAATCCTAAAAATGAATCGCCCATCTTGCAGAGAATTTCATACTCAGCCGAAATATATATAAACTGACATACGGCCTAACTTTTTAGTACACAAACCCATTTAAATTTTGTGAATCTGTATATCATTAAGTATGTGACCATATAAAAGTTTGGCCTGCATTTTTTAACAAATAGCAGTGAAGATATGATTTGGATGTCTTTTAATCGGTTTTTCATCTTCTATCTAGCAGTGGTCGAATGAATCTTATCAATGTTTTAGTCAAGAGAAATAATTAAATTACTACTTGGATGGAGTAGCAAGATGACGATGGTGGAAAAAACAATTTGTTTACTTTTTTCGCTCAGGAATGGCAGAAAATAATAAAAGCATGACTTTTCTAATAAGTTCGATCATTAGAAATGAAAAAATCCGAGTGGATCGATTTTCTTTCTGATGTCCCTCCGTCCTTAAAATTTCATTCACAAAATAGTTAGAAAAGATTATTTATAACATCATCATTTTATCAGCACATCCGTTAGAATAAATAAAAGAAAACATCTAAGGTGAGGTAAGTTCAAGTGTCACGGAAAAGTGCAGATTTAAGTCCGAAAAAAAGATAAAAGGATAGGTAGTTTGCATTATACAGGTTTTTTGATGTATTATATCTCTGTATCTAATATTTTCTAACATATTGTTGTGTAACCTTCTATCTAAACATAGATGTATATTACTAATTCAGATTCGGTATAACCTTCTACCGTAAAGTACGCTTCGAAGATTTTATCCAAGATTATTTTAGAAGTACTAAAACCAGTCTTTTTGGAACAATCGATCTTTTTGACTTCAATGTCAATGAACATATTTTCTGAAAAGGTCGGTGTATAGAGTAACCACTTCCCAAAATAAGATCGAATGCAACCATGTGAGAATTCCCACTGAAAAGTTAACCCTATAATCGCTAAAGTGTATCAACAAATACACAAGGAATACTGTCTTCTTTCTATTGCTGACTACATTTCTAAAATATCTATATATTTATAGATCTTATTTTGCAGCGAATGACATCGACACATGTATATTTGGACTCTCCGAGTCTTGAGGTTTCATTTGAGATACTACAAGATTATATTCTGTGACGTTCGTTTTTCTTCATTTCTGGGGCCGTTCCAGTTAATCCATCTATGAATATGCTCCAAAACACAAGTTAGTACCAAATAGTCCAAATGGTGTGGTATACGACTGACTATGTCGATTTATATAACAAGTGCCTTCGGACTTAAAAATTGAATTTTTAAAATGCTCCATTTTCACCTTCTCTGAACTTTGAGACGGCCTGCACCCCTAGTGAACTACCTTTTTCAGATTAAAGCTATAAATTGCGAAAAACCAGCTATAAATTTGCAAAAAACCAGAACTCTGGGAAACCTTCAAGAGCCTTTTGGAAATCTTTTTCGTTCCAAGCACATCGTATCGATAGAGCGTCAAATTCTGAGCAAAATGAGACGTCCTCGAGCCTTCTAGGACATCTCTAGGCTGAGATAAGGCCATTTTACTTTCACAGATCCGGCTGACTCGAAAAAGATTTCCAAAAGGCTCTTGAAGGTTTCTCAGAGTTCTGTTTTTTTGCAAAACCTACTTGGAAAACTCCAAATCTCTTAAACACATTTCTAACGTATTCAGCATTGCTTTTTACCTAGAAAACCATAATAGCAGTTCTCTAGGTGGAAATATCACCGAGTTATGGGCTCATCATCTGAAGGATTTTTCGAAAAACTCGCACTTTTTCAGTCTTTTCCTAATTTCTCCAAAAAGGAAAAACGTTTCAAAAAAAACGAAGCATACTTTTGTGGAGCAGGGCTAGGTGAATCTTCTGGCGTATGAAAGAAGTCTCTAGCTCTCATGGCAAAAAACTAGATAGCATTGTGCGATGAGAACCTCAAGTTTCGAGCGATCAGTGTTTGATAAGCTACCGGAGTTTAAGTCTTGAAGAAAAGTCATCGAATGACAAGTGCCTAGATGTGCTTCGTGATGCTAAATCCGAAAATCGCATCAGTGAGATCGAAAAATGAAAAGATCAGGAGATAATCGGGATTTTTCTGAAAAATCGGTTTTTCGAGGTTTTTGACTCCTTCACAGTATTTTGAGGTTTCTGCATGAAAACTCGGTCAAATCGAAAAAATAAGGCAAGATTCGTGATCAGCAGCGTCTGATGAATCAGAATAGGTGCTTGAGAATTCAAAAGCTTTTCCACTTGATTTTTGAATTAGCGGCGCCTTACGACGACCATTATTAATATTTTTCAATTTTGTAGATCGGCTTGGCCAGCTAACGGTACACCAGAGCGCGGAAGTATGAAGCGTTAAATGAAGTGGTAAAACTAATCTTATGTGAAAGAGCACACTTTAAAGTGTGGGAAAATAATTTTCGTTTGTTTTTATTAGTACCTGAACACATGAAAAATATTCGGTGAACATTGAGATGAATCATCAATAACGTGGTACGTTTGATACATATGTTTTTAGTTTTTATTATTTTTTCTCGTTCTTCTTGACCTTTCAGCTTAAGAAAAATACATTGCTGGATAGAAAAGAAGTTGTTCTGTTTACTGATCGTATCAATTCTTGTTCTAGCTTTTACGTGCTTTTGAAAATTAATCAGAAAACTTGCGCATTTTTAATGAAATTCCGTAACAAAAAATCGGTATTTTAAAAATTGTTCAAACAAGCTAGGAGAATTCTGTAAGTCATTTAGCATATTAAGATTCTCTATTTCTAGGGCTACCTTTCCAACTAGTTTTTATTTGAAAAGTCATACGATATAGTTGCAGAAGGGAAATGAATTTTTTGAGGTGCTAGTTTTAATCACGGAGGAAATTACATCAGACTTGTGAATATGAGCTTGATTTGAGAGAAGGCCGATTTTGCCCCTGATCGACCCCCGTCCTTTGAATTGTTCAAAAATTTTTTATTAGAATCAATCCTAGCTGTCGTGTTCTTGGTCACAATAATCGTAGTACGGAGGTTCAGCTGTGAAAAACAAAATGTTAATGTTTTACCAAGATTTTTACGTAGGGTTGGCTGCGATCAGGCTAGTGACCTGAGCTGTACCATTTCAATAACAATATATTTATCCCTCCCGTATTTATTTTCAGATCTTTAAATGTTTAGATTGGATAATGGTAGGATTGAAAAGAGTTAAAATATCAACAACTGAATTTCCCGTCATTCGTGACCCGCGTAAGTGATGAGATCGTGCACAATTTGTTTAACTTTAACTACTTGGGCCCGATTCAATGATAATATCCTAACAGAAAAGGAAGATATGTGTTGCAGTCCAGCTTAGAATTCAGTTCAACTTGGAATCTAATCGAGTGCGGTTTAGAAATACGATATATGAGTTTAGTCACTTATAACAAATCATACTCTTTCATGTTAGGCTTATTAATGGGTAAGAATTTTAAAACTATAGAGATAATAACAGCAGCTATCTTTTAATTCCATTATTTAATTTTTATTAAAATTCGACGTTTCGAAAATACAATTTTCGTAGATAAACAGATTATACTGTAACATTAGAGTAGTAACTCTAATGTTACAGTATAGTCGGTTAATCTACTGTTTTCTTGAAAATGAAAATTGTATTTTCAAAATGTCGAATTTTAATAAAAATTAAATAATGGAATTAAACATACTCTTTCAGTTTCACCTGGACGTTTATGAGCTATTGTTCACCTTTGGCAGTGTGGGTAGTAAAAGTCCTTGATGAGAAAAAAAGTTTCTTTCGATAAAACATTTTTATTTTCATTTCATGAACAACCTTGAAGAAAATTTTAAATTTACATAAGAACTTCATATTTCATTCATATTTTACTAGCTGAATGAAAAATGATTCGATGGTGAAGAAAAAGCGACGTTGTTATTTGTTTTGCAAGGTAGATAAAGTCCAAATCATTTGCTGTTTTTGCTCAGTTGCCGATAAGTCAATCGTTGTGCCGGATATTTTTACTGAAAACAAATTTTGTTGCATGCTATGAGAAAGAGCACACTGGAAACTACACAAAGTATACTCAAACCGCGCTCTGATACTTGTGAAACCATTTGAAAAAATGTAGCTCTCTATGAG